CAGGACAATGATCCCAAGCATACCTCCAAGTCCACTAGAGCATGGTTGCAGAGGAAAGGCTGGAACATTTTGGAGTGGCCATCGCAGTCACCAGACTTAAATCCGATTGAGAACCTCTGGTGGGACTTAAAGAAAGCAGTTGCAGTGCGCAAGCCTAAGAATGTGACTGAACTGGAGGCCTTTGCCCATGAAGAATGGGCGAAGATACCCGTAGATCGCTGCAAGACACTTGTGTCAAGCTATGCTTCACGTTTAAAAGCTGTTATAACTGTAAAAGGATGCTGTACTAAAGTACTAAGATTGAATGTCACTTGGGGGTTGAATAAAACTGATAATGCTGTGAGCACAGAAAAGACATTTGTGGTTATTTCATTATAACTGTTATGTTATATTTGTCTGACCTACAAGTGCCTCTTTAATGTAAATGTAAGCAAGATGACTGAATGATCAAAAGCAATGTCAAACTGGCCAAAACACTCAATTTCAGTGGGGGTTGAATAATTTTGGCCACAACTGTATATAATACTGTAGGTGGAGAGTGAGTGGACGAAGTGGACGTATTTTAGACAATGTGATAGGGTACAGATCACTATAGATTTGAATTTTTTCCCCTCTAAAGTCAACTGAGGCAGTGTTATGTGGGGAATTCAGCAAAGACTCCTTGCTATCGTAGTCATGAAACCGGACAATGATGTCTCTTGGTCTCGTGACCAATGGTGGCTTTGGGGCAAGAGAGCGATGGGCCCTGTCCATTCGCCAATCTATGTCCAGAACCACCAGGGCCAATGCAGTAAACAGACCTCGCAGATAATCTTGTAGGTCGGCATCCCCTACAGACTCTGGGACACCGCGTATTCGGAGATTCTGTCTTCGCTCCCTATTCTCCAAATCTTCCTGTGGGGATTGCAACTGGGACATTTGGTGTTTTAAAATATGGTTATCTTCCTCTAGTACATGTACATACTGCACTAGATTATCAAATTTGGTTTCTAGGTGGTCTGTACATCCTTCCACCAATGCTATCTCCCCTCTAAGCTCTTTGTAAAAGACTGTATAACATATCATCTAGAATGTCTGCTGTGAGATATGGGGCAGGTGAAGGGAGAGACACAGCAGAGTGGTTTGTTACCTCCTGCTTGGCGGGTGATGGAGGGTTCTTCTGACGCTCGATTTTGCCCATTAGGATCTGCAGGGATCACTGAGTCTGGTACTGATGCTCCTTTGCGAGTGTAGGCTTTTGTGAGCTCCGGAGGAGTCGGAAGAGACAGCGGTGAAGCGGAGTGGAGCTAGAACACGCCCGCCATCTTCAGCCTCCATGCATGTGCCCGCCTTATTTTTTTAATATATCAAAAGGTTAAAGAGGAGTCTAGATACATTTACAGAAACAGGATAAAACCCCAATCACAAATGACAAAACAACTGGTCTGCCTACTTAAGCCATGCAGTCCACGTATAGGACTTGGCAACTTTCTTTTAGAAATCATACAATGATGTTTTAATGTACTTGGACACCCAAGAACCCTGCCTTGTGTATGCAGAAAAAAGAGAGTTGACAAGAAAATCATGTGATCATGGATTTAGTTAAGTAAAATGGGCATTTAGGTAGCTTTTTTTTTTGCTGTCGTTTTTTTATTATCTGTGCCAGCGATTAATTAGTGGGGGTGTCGATGATTGCCTAGAGAGCAGCTTTAAATCTTTAATTCTTCATCTAGCATTAAAAATCCATGGGTAATCGGCAAATATTTCACTCCAGACTGCCTACAGAGATATCTTAGTCTGCTCCTCTATTTAGATTTGCTGGCAGAATAAGAAAAATAGAGAAGCTGATGGGATGGTAATTTCAGGAGCATTATTGGATTTAGCACAGTTCAGTAGGAAAGCATATATCAAAGAAGACAAATGCTGGAACAAGAGGTCATACTCCCAAGCTGGTAGCTGCCAAACTGGCAAATGTACGGTCACACAGGGGCAGGAGGCCAGAAGTAACAAAATACAGAACTACTGAGGTTTAAAAATAAATACCATATATTTAAGAATGATGGGCTGAATGCAACTCAATTATTATTTAAAGGGAAAGCAATTTTTACTCATTGCAGAGCTACAGCCACCTCTGGAATCCTCAGCACCCATTAATCGTGGATGCATTCAATTCCTGCACCTCCCTGCTTGCAGTTCTACCCTTCAGCAGGTACTAGCCAGAAGGGGGACAATCTAGCCTTGGCTGAACTTCTGCAAAAGAATGAAAAAATCCAGTGTCCCCGGCTTTGCCAATTTAAAGTTTACCTGAGAGGTGGAAAATATGGGAAGTGCCATTGCTGGCTTGCTTTCAAAGTTCAAGGTTCTTGTCTTGAAGTTGCTTCTCTGCTTGGTGGGTCACTAATGTGAAACCGGAATGCATCCAGTGAAGTCTATTATTTTTTATTATACAGAAATTATATAGCACCAACAGTTTGTGCAGCTCTTAAAAAATGACTAGGCCTAAAGCATACCTATAGTCGAAATGTAAAATCATATATTCATAGCTTCTAAAACTGGGTAATATATTTTACACTTTCTTCTTAAAATAACAGATGCCTGTAAGACACTGAAGCTGGTCATATAATGGATCAAAATATGTCCAGTTCAGCAGGGACCAGATGTATTTCGATCCATGTGTGGGCATCCTTGTTCAACAGAAATTGATCATTAACTTCTATCGACAGGGAGTGTACTAAAATTTTTGGCAATCAGTGACCAGTGTATTCTGATAGCGTAGAGGCCCCTTATCAGAATACAATGTCCCTAGTGACGAAGATTCCTTCATCTATCTCAATTGCGTAATGGAGGAATCAGCTTTTTTTTCCAGCTGGCTGAACGGAATGTCAAAAAGAAATGCCCCATCTGTGGCCAGATTTTTCCCTCTGACAGCTTAACATTCTAGCACTGCCTTATAGAACTCCAACTGTAACTACAGCCAACTTTTTTTTTTTTTATGTGCAATGACAATATGATGTGATTAACAAAAGTTTAGAGCAAACATAAGATACTTTAACTATTTAGCCCTAAACCTATATTATGGCCCCAAATGTATTCTGAAATAAGTATAGTAAATACCTTAATTTGTATAGTGCTGTGCTATCCTATAATGCTTTTTCCATAAATAAAATATAACAGTCAAAAAAGCACATAAACGCATAAACTGAGTCCTTGTGATTGGATTCAAAATTTGTGCTAAAAAAATCAGTGAAGAAATGCCAACAACAAATGTTAAAAAAGCAAACTCCAAGCTCTAGTGCAAAAGATGAATTCCAATCCTAAACCTTGAAGTGCGTGGAGACCACCACCAAAAACCTTATAGACTATGCGCTCACCCTATGAATCGGCCCTTGTAACAGGGGCTAGTGAAGGTTTAACTACACCATTGGATGTCTAATGGCCACTGTAGACAGAAATCACATAGACATACAAGCACTCATCAATAGGTGATCGGTGTTTCCAACCTCAAAACATTGTCTCCAACCAACAGCCCAATTCAAAAAGCAATTAGCAGTTGATCCAGGAGAGAGTTTGTTACATAGCTGGCTGTCAACAGTGCGGCTTGGCTACACACTTATGCTGAGATGTGAGGGAAGGTGAGGGCTTAGTACTTTCATTCATTTATTTTCCCGCTGCTATTGTTTTTAATGCTAGTTCATACAGGTTTTTTTTTTTTTTTTTTTTAATAATCAAGCGTTTTTAAAAACAGTAAACATTATGAAGTTCTCTTTTTGAGCTGGGCTTTTGGCTGGAGACCAGGTTTTGAGGTTGAAAACACTGATCACTCATTGAAAAGTGTTTGTATGCCTATGGGATTTCTGCCTACAGCGGGCATTAGTGATGCATTGGTGTAGTTAAAGCTTCACTAGTCCCTGTAATAAGGGTCTATTCAGAAACTGAGTGAATACCTTCTAGGGCTTTTGGTGGTGGTCTCCAAGCATTTCACGGCTTGAGATTGGAAATCATCACTTGCACTGAAGTTTGGACTTTGTTTTTTAGACACTGAAAGTTTACATTTCGTCACTGATTTTTGAGCACATATTTTGAATTCAATCATCTCAAGGACGTGCGGTTTATGTGCTTTATTGGCTGGTAATGGTCACATTTTATTTCCACTGGTGTGCCAGCAGCTTACAGATATATATTTTTGTTGGGCAAACTCATCTTTATTTAATTACAGTAAATACCTAATCAACGTAGATTCCTAGGTTTTCCTTGGTGAGTCTATACTTTCTAATGTGTAATTGGATGTAATGCATGGGAGGTGCATTGTGTGGGTGTGTCTGATTCTTGTCTTTAGATTTTTTTTTTTATTTTACATTTTACCCCTGTCCGGGCTGGATATTCCAGCCTTCATGACAGTAAACGTATATGGACCCCCATTAGAAAGCTTTTAGGGACCCAGCTAATGATCAGCTAACCTCCCCTGATTAATGTACCCCACCACGGTTTTCACATGTGACTCTACATCCCCCCTTCTCTCATGGGGGGGCTTTCAAACTGCACTAATATTAGTTTAACCCCCCTCAATGTACATATAATTCATGTGTTCACCTGGGTCCAGAACACTTAGGCACAAAGCAATTCCAGATCCATGCTAGAGGAGTGGTCTTGGTAATGCAGAGGTAAGTAACCCTTTCCGAACTCACTTTGTACTAATCACTGGTGCTCTAACCACCTCCACACAACCTGCAGAGGTCTGGCAAGTCAGTCTGAACACCAGCTTTCAGTCACTGAAACAACTTTGAGCTTGATATTGAAGAAGACATTAGAGAAGATAGAGACACTAAAAAAGTTATATACTGTAAATATATCTTATTAAGTGGAAAAAGAAAACTAAAATGTGAAAACCATGATATCTATTTTTCCCTACTGTCTCTAACAAAGGAACAAAGAGATAAGAAATGGACACATTTCATTTGAACTTGTATTCTTCTTTCCATACAAGAATCAATGTTTATACAACTTTATGTCTTGCTGTATACCTGAGTAACTCTGACTGGATTACAGGAAGAATCTTCCTCTCTGAAATTCGGGATTTGGCTCTTTCAGCATCAGAAGAGAATAGCCAACTCTTGTCATTAGAACATGGGGCATCAACCAACACCTACAGCATGAGACGTAACAGGAAAAAAAAAAAAAAAGTGAAATGCCTTCACAGCCCAAAAATTAAGGAAAGATACAATAGTAATCCCAGACTTGTGTCATTTTAATTCTTTTATTTTTTTCTGCATTTATTTTTTTTTTCCTGATTCTTCTGTAATTTAATGTAAGACTTAACCACTAGCTGCCCAGGACAATTTTTGAAAATTTTCACACACATGGTAAAATCAGCATCTTTTTTCTCGAAAATTACTTAGAACCCCCAAACATTACATATTTCCTGAAAGCAGAGGCCCTAGAGAATATAATTGTGGCGGTTTTAATTTTTTAGATCTCACAATATTTGCAAAGATTTTTGTTACACACAAATTTAAAAGAACAAAAACACTTAATTTTAGTGCACACAAAAACAATATAATACTCAATAGTAACAAACTACTATACCTAATATCCATAGGTGACCCTTTAACCCCTTTGTGTCATCACCTCCCGGCCCTTTAAAGGGTTTCTGATGCCGGGAGGAGGGACGGGGTTTAAGGTCATGTGACCACCGTGATTGGCTGTTACGGCAGTCACATGATTGGGAAAGGTCCCATTCGCAAGGAGAGATCGGGACCTTTCCGTGAGACACCGACACAAGTGCTGGGAGCGCGAGCCCTTCGCGCTCCCAGCACTTGTGTCGGTGTCCCACGGAAAGGGTTCCCAGGGAAATTTTATAAAATTTGGGGACCATGGCTAGATACACAGGACACAGCAGACTCTCTACTTTTTTTAGTAGCAGATTCTACGCCATAGTTCTCTTACTTGCTGTATTGTTATGATGGCCGTATTTAATACTTGGCCAATACACAGTTTAATCACGTGCCCTCCAAAGGATTAATCCACCTTCCTGACCAGGCCATTTTATGCGATATGGTGCTGTGTTACTTTAATTGACAATTGCGTGGTCATGCAACGCTGTGGATAAATGAAATATATGTCCTTTTTTTTTTTTTGTAAACACACAGGTCTCTCCCCTGTCAGTTTCTTGGCAATCGCCAGGTGTCGACGGGGAATTTCCGCCAGGGGGTTCAATGATCGACATATGCCATATGCCAATGGCGGCACAGGTAGGGTGGCACGCGCGCCCCCTACCCGGAGATGCATATCACGTATATACACGTGATTCTGCGCAGCCCTGCCGTCCTGTAGCAGTATTTTTGCAATAGGGAGGCGGGGAAGCGGTTAATAAGCACGTGCGGGACTTGATGGTTAATGGGTGTTTTCAGGCACAGGCCCTCAAGCTCATTTTGCATAGAACATGGAAGAGCACAACAGTAACCCCCTTTTTTTTGGTTATATGTTAACTGGCATTATGCCATCTGTTGCTTGTCAAATTTCTGAAATATTCAGAATTAGTGGTGCACAGAAGTGCCAAAAATTAAAATGAAAATGCCCTTGGCCGAAAAACGAAACGCGCAGTTTTTAAAAATGAATATATATTTTTGGAAAAAAATACACTTATTAAAAAAACCAAAAAAAAATAAAAAAAACATATTATACCTCAATTGTTTTGTAAAATATGAAAGAGGATGTTATAGTGAGTAAATAAATATCCAACATGTCACGCTTTAAAATTGCACAGGCTCGTGGAATGGCGTGAAACTGCGGTACTTAAAAATCTCCATGGGTTATGCTTTAAAAATTTCTACAGGTTAGTAGTGTAAAGTTACAGAGGAGGTCTAGTGCGAGAATTATTGCTCTTGTTCTGATGTCTGTGGTGATACCTCACATGTGTGGTTTGTACATCGTTAACATATGTGGGCATTGCCTACGTATGCGTTCTCCACTACGTGCGAGGACGAGGGGTATGGGGGCACTTTAAAAAAAAATAAATTATTATTTATTTAATGGTTTTGTTTTTTTTCACTGTCCCTTTAAAAAACTTTTATTCGTATCACAAGGAATGCATGCAGAAATAATTAGTGACAGGTCCTCTTTAAGACCCCATATCTCTCCTCTGCAATGTAATGCATTAGATTAAAAAAAAAAGAATTTATCTAGTGCTTTAAATTAAATAAATAAAAATAAAATGTCCAGAACGGGAAGTGACATCGCTCCGGTCCTCCAAGGGCATAGAGATGAGTGGCGGCCATCTTTCCTTCACTCATCTCTATGCCCAGCGCCGGGATCCATGGTTTCTCAGGTAAAGCTGAGAACTACTGAGTGGTTTCCGATGCGACGGCGGCAAGGTGCAGGATTTTTTTTGCCACCTGTATCGGTGCCAACGGCCGAAAGGGGTGTTTTCGGCCGAAACGTTTCAGCCACCGAAATTTCGGTACATCCCTATTCAAAATACTTCTCTGTGAATGTCCCTTTATTTGCATATACTCAATAAAAACAAGTTTTTTTAAAAAAAGAACCACCCATCGTATATGCCTTAGGCCACTAGAAACAGGTTAAGCACAAAAAAAAAACCCTCAAAAAACTCACACCAGAAGCCACATGCTGAATAGACAGGCTAAATTTGACATTATAAATGCAGTATTTTAGTGGCTCTTCTAGAGCAATATAATTTGTATTTTAGGTTCACTGTTCCTTAAATGACATAAAACAATACCCACCTTGTCATAAGAGCTGGTGTATAATTTCCCAATTAACCTTCCGTCTAATTGAGTAGTTGAGAGGACATTCATGTGGGACAGCGGCACAAAGGATTCCAGTGTCTTCCTCAGCCCCACAATGATCTGTGCATATCCGGCTCATTACAATGAAGAAGTCCTGAGAAAAGCCATTTCAGAGGTGCATCAAACACTAGAAACTGACATCGCTGGCAGCAATCTTGTTTTGCACTTTTACTGTTATTTCCTTACTATACTAAAAAAATCCTCTGCTAGGAATAATTAGTCTAAAAGGGGTGCTCCACAAAGCAAACTTTCAGATAAAATGAACACAGCACAGCGCGAGGGTATAAAAAATATATATATATATATATAAAAAATATATAAAATTGGGTATTTTTTTTTTATTCTGCACTTAAAGTGGACCTTCGACTTGTTCACCCACTTTGCATAATCTAATACTTCCTCCTTTCAGACAATCACAGATTTTTTGTAAATTATTTTCTTTTTAAACGCCCTGCACTTCCAGTATTCTTGCCTAGATGAGAATGATGTTCCCTAGCTGTCCAAAGATACATGCATCAGCATTGATGGAAAACAACTATGAGGCACTGACAGAGTGTTGTCACCCATTAACAGGAACTGCCTGAACAAGGACCTTCATGGCAGGATCACCAGGTATTCTATTGATTGGGTATACATAACCCACTTTAGCTCCCTGCACTCCCACCACCTCCATAATATGAATCTTTGTTTTTAATTTTTTGCTTGTTTTCTTGTATATACACAAGGGGTTTTCAAGTCAAACAGGACTTTTATTTTACAGGTATAAAAAGGGATGCTAACCTGGCGGTACTACACGCAGTAGTAAGTGGCAAATGTGTCCGATTACAGATAGGAAGCGCACATGTCGTGGGCCAGTCTAATCAAGATGGTAGTCAGCAGTGTTAGTGTGTGCATGGAACAACGTGTGGTGGTGAAGTTTCTTATGAACAACGGCATAAACCCCAATATGCTTAAATATGATGATGTGGTCCAAATACTCACTTGCCTAATAAGTATACACACAGCGTATTTAAGGAGATAATGGGAGCATTGGAGTTCCTGCTACCTGTCTTTCCTTGGTATGCCTCTATGCTTGCCTTCTGGGATTTGTGTGCGGATTGAAAACTGGCACTATCACCTATTGTATAAGCATTCTATTCTTCCTCTATCACCCTAAAAGGCGTAGTCTTTATACTGTAGCTGTGAAATGAATAGAGTCTTCATATCACCACCCACTGTGCATAATATTTTTTTTCCCCCCAAATAAAGATTATAAAAGTCAGACAAAAAGAAAGAAAAAAAAACAAAAACAAAAAACAAACATGGCATGGAAGTTGAACACAGAAGAATGAGGGGGCAGACCCCAAACAACAACTTAGAAAACTAAGAGGAGGATATGAATCTAGAAGGACAAAAAATAAAGAGGTTTTGAGTAAGTATGGTCATAAGAACCTATTGTCAATATCGTGTGTACATTCATGATAGACCAGAACATGGAATCATTGATATTAGAGAAAATTTTTGAGAACGGTGGATGTGGAGAAATTACACTGAGGTACATTAATTGATAATGTGATTCTAGGTCAGGTATGAAAATTGCGTTTAGCATGCCGGAAGCACCGTCCCAGCAAAAGAAAGGGAAAAGACAGAGAAAGAAAAAAAAAAAGGGGGTGGGGAGAGAGAGAGAGGAGGGAGGGGTAGGGAAGGAGGGAAGAGTAGGGAAGGGGGGAAGAGTAGGGAAGGGGGGGGATAGATGAGTGCTAAGCAACATAACTTAAGTTATCGAGGTAGGATGACAGAGGGGGGGTCATAATACTTTGAAAGACTTTGGTTTTGGACCTTTACATATACGCAGTGAAGGGAGTGGCCTCAGGTGATACACAGAGGTGAAACATAACTTGTACCTGTTTATCTGCATATCTCTTCTCTACAGCCTTCTAAACAGATCAAAGGCTAATTCTCAGCTTCCTCAGGCATCGGCTGCATCTGACATCACACATTGCACAGCATAGGGCATGAAGCTGAGTGTAATCTGAGACTTAAGTGGAGGGAATGGACACATTCTCCTCTACACGGTCTCATACGAAACTTGGAACTTGGATTGTGGCAAGTCCACACTATAGAGGGATATGCTCTGTTTATTTTTTATTTCAGAGCTTTAAAAACACCTTGAGTAAATGGATAATTTATGCTGCTTTGGATTTCATGATAATCTTTAACTTCATAAATATTTTTTTTTATTTTAATGATTGTATTATATGGGGAGTACCTTAAAAGTCACCTTTTCCAAATATTTTTTTTGTAGTATACAAATGTAGCAAGTGCAATGCGATCATCTCAAGGTGGCCATGAACTCCCACAACTCCTGAGTGAGAGGAGGATCAGGAACAGCTGGGAGATTTTAGTACTGGATTGCTCTGGAGATATAACAAGTCATGGAGTAATTCAGCCCAGAAACTCCGCCTGTAACTGAATTGTCACTTAGCGTGGACTTATCCTTTAAATCTCCTCTTTTATTGCAATAATAAAAGTGATGACTGTGTGGTTTAGGAATTATGATACACTAAGGAGCCAAAAAATATAAAACAATTAAGACAAGGTAAAATTCCTGTTAGGTTTCTCCATTACACGGAGGAAAACAGAGTGTGCTGACGCAGATGGTGGAAGTGGTCATGTCTCCTTCAGCTCATTTCCCCCATAACATCCTACAAAGCAGTTCTGGCCTGACATTATGTAACATCAATCACGGCTGGAAAGATGCACTTCGGATGCAGTTATCAGAAGTCTGGGTGAGCAGAGAGCAATGATTCTGACAAGTGACTTGATTCTGGCAGCTAGATAAGCACTATTGTCTCCCATGCGCCTGACTGACTCCACTATCGCTCTCTCAAAAATGTCATTTCTAAGATCTTGATATGTCTATATAACCTACAGAGAGACAGCGGATAAAGTGTGGCCGTTATCACAACCGTACAAAGTAAATAGGATTGACTGAGGAAATACACATTTATACAGCACAGATCTGACAACAAGCTGCATGTAATTAGCTGCAATGAATTAAAAAAAAAAAAAAAAAAAAGGATCCTAATTAAAATGACACTACTGCCCAAACAATTACATATTACCAGGATTTCAGTGTATACATAATGCAAATGTTGCTTTACTATTTCTGGTTGTCCCGGAATAACCCATTTTCAACAGCTACTTAAAATGGAATTCAAGCCTAGCACTATTGTTAAAAATATGCCCTTCCCCATCTTCCTACTTATCCTGCCTGCCCTATGTAAAAAAAAAAAAAAAAAAAAAATGTGTGTACTTACCTTTTTTCAGTCAAGTGATCCCGCAGCTCTAGCTCCCATATCATGGAGCACTCAACAAGGACTGGAAATTCTGGGAGTCATGACATCACCCTTAGGTTCCCATGGCCCAGCCATTGTCGGTGCTCCATCCTCTCCCCAGTGTTCAGTAGCTTCATTGAAAAATACAATGTGACATTATTGTTACATCAGATTTACTCCATAGAGTCCATAGAGGTGACTTCCCATCTGCATATCAGTTAAAGCACCTTACCTTGTGTACCTTAACTAAATAGTTGGGAGCAGTGGGGGGGGTCCACATACAATACTTCTGGCCATTTACTATATCATGGTATTGTTCAGCAATTGCATGTTATTAAAATTGAAACAAATGAGCCATATGGCCAGGTGACATGCAAAGAAGCAAACTGGTAACACCGGGATGGATGTGTTTCCATGCCCTGACGTGCTCAGACTGAAATAGGAGAGCAGGGGGACTGGCGGGACCACCAAGTATTTTGCACAAAGGAAGCAATACAAAGAGAACAGGATACCTTTTCATACAAGTACGTGGTAACAGACAGATTTAAGAAATGTAAAATGTTGGAGTAACACACACTTTAACCACTTGAGCTCCAGAAGGTTTTACCCCTTCGTGACAACCAGGCCATTTTTTTGCTATTTAGCACTGCACTTCTTTAACTGGAAATTGTGTGGTTATGCAACGCTGTACCCAAATGAAAGTTATATAATTTTTTTCACACAAATAGAGCTTTCTTTTGGTGGTATTTTATAACCACTGGATTTTTTTATTATATAAACAGAAAAAACAAAAATTTTTAATTTTTTTACTTTCTGCTATAAAGCATATTTACTAAAAACATCTCATTTCTTCATAATTTTAGACCAAAATGTATTCTGCTACGTCTTTGGTAAAAAAAAATCCCAATAAGTGTATATTATATATATACTGATTTGTTTTTAATATTGTGGCGGGCAATCTGACACTGACTGAAGCTGACTGGGAGGTACACTGAGTAAGTGACACTGACATCACTAGTAACACTAATATAGTGATCAGTGATAATACTATATACTGTCACTGTACTAATGACACTGGTTGGGAACGAGTTAACATCTAGAGGCGATCAAAGGGTTAACTGTAACATGCACTCCCTACTTCTTCTCACAGTTGCATCCCATCTCCTCAAACTTTCTTTCCTTCACCCCTCCTCTACGCCCCACAGCTTATATATATCACCCTCACTCCTGTCTTCACCTTATTACTGCACTCATCAACTACTGCTAATTCTGAACCTACATACTAATAAAACCTCCAGGACATTGGGACATGCCCTCTACAAGTCACACTCCCATATTACCTCTCTCACCCTTCAGCTTCTCTTAACATCTGGAGTCATCTCCACAAATTATGGGTCACCATAATTTCCTTTGGCCAACACACCCAGCACCCCCTATTCTCTTATAGTGGCCATAATCCATATAATCTGGGTCCTATTCCTCCTTTCCATCTCCTGCTGCCCTCTCCATGGTGGCCTCCTCTGAACGCACTCTCCAAGGTCTAGTGGATGGAAGGGAGGTGGAGTTGGAACCCTCCTATTCCTTCAAATAACTTTTCAGGTCCTTTATTCACCTCCCTCTCTGTCCCTTTCCTCATTTGAAGCTCACTGTATTTGTCTATTCTCTCCAGTATCTTTGAGATTCGCTGTGATCTATCGGCTTCCTGGACTGGTATCAAGCTTCCTTGATGACTTTGCTGCCTGCCTGCTAACCTACTTTCTCTCTTCTGAAATTCCCACAAAAATTCTTGGTGACTTCAACATCCCTGGTAATCTTAACACTCCTGCTACTTCTAAACTTCTGAGCCAACCTCCTCTTTTGACCTAAAACAATGGATACACGCTTCTACTAATTCTAATGGCAACTGCCTTGACCTTGTATTCTGCTAGCTATGCACTCCTTGCAACCTCAGCAACATTCCTTTTCCTCTTTCTGATCACTCCCTTATTAGCTTCACTCTCCCCTTGGCTTCCACCTCCTTGCCTTCCAGCTAAGTTACTTCTTTTTTCTGCATCAGATTGTCTCCATGCCACTTCTGTCTGCAACAGTTCACAGTCTTCCACCCTGGACACATTGCCCCCCCCTTACTACACACAGAATCAGGCCTGACTACTACAACCCTGGCAAACAAACAATACCAGATGCCTCACAAATCGTAGCCGTGCTCTTGAGGGTCTGTAGCATAAGACTAAATCCAAGCAAGACTGCGACCAATATAAATCTGCCCTCCAAAAATACAATTCCTGCCTCCACACTGCCAAACAGACCTATATTATCGTAAATAATAAAAGCGAGCGCTAACTTCTAAGAGCGGCTATTGCTATTTTATACAAGGGTAAAAACCACAAATTCCCTTGGATATAAACTATATAAAGAAAGTCCAGTGCTAAAATTATTAAGACAAATATGCATATAAATATATTTGTAAACCTTAAAATGTCCACTTATGGGAATAAAAATAAATGATAAAATGAATAAAATGTTCATAAATTCTTCAGCAAAAACGCACTGTGGTTATACCTGCATTTATGTCATAAAATATTGAAAAAAAATATCAATGAATAGGCACAGTTCATCCACTACACTATGGAAATCCCCTTTCATTCTGCTCCACACCGAGCATTTTAACTCCCCCAGCTATCCTCCGATGACCATCCCAGAGGCCTAGAGGGGAGTCCTGGCTGACCTGATTTATCCTGTAACCAAAAAAGGAGGGCCGATTACCCCCAGGCTGCATCCAGACCTACCCTAAGAAGGGAAACCTGATAGACCACCTATATATGATACAACGCGCTTATTACATGCGCTTCTGGTGAGTGCGCGTTTTATCCATTTCTTGCACAACCACCTGAACATATCTAGTGTACTGGGAATAATAGCATCATCAGGAGATCCTATTTTGGATGACCTGTGCCTATTCACGGAATATATTTTATGACCTAAACGCAGGTATAACCACAGTGCGTTTTTGCTGAAGAATTTATGAACATTTCTTAAATTTTATAATTTATTTTTATTCCCATAAGTGGACATTTTAAGGTTTACAAATATATCTATACGCATATTTGTCTTCATAATTTTAGCGCTGTACTTTCTTTATATATTTTAGACCTATATTAATCACTCTCATTAAACACCCTCTCACGCAGTCCCTGTCAACTCTTTTCTACCTTCTACACTCTAGTTCATCCTTCATAACCTCCACCCACTAACTCACTGATTGCCCAGGAGATCGCTAATCACTTAAAAAATAAGAATACAATTTGTGACGAGATCACCACTGTACACATCTCCCTCACCTTACACTCCTTGTCCACCTGCACAATCTATACTTCCGTTGTTTAACCCAGCTACTATGGAGGAAGTAACTAGACTTTTTTCTAACACCCACCTAACCACCTATCCCCTGGACCCTGTTCCCTCGCAAATACTACAGTCACCCTCCGGCTCTATCCTACACTCTTCAACTCATATTTTTCCTCCAAACTCCTTAACCCCTTCACGCCTAAGGGTAAAACAAATCTTAATGCCTAAGCACAATTTTGCAACGATGACATGTGTTAGTAAAACTGTACCTATGATCACAACTACTTTGTACATCCAGGTGAATTATACCGCGTTTTTTTCAGGACAAATTGGGTTTTCATTTGGTGATAAATGGTAATGGATAGCTCCTGTTTTTATTTTTATTATCAAAGGAAAACTGGCCCAAAATAGTTAAAAAAAATATAATTTTTTTATTTACAGTTGCAAGAAAAAGTATGTGAACCCCTTGGGATTACGTGGAGTTTTGCATGAATTGGGCATAAAATGTGCTCTGAACATCATCTAAGTCACAATAGAAGAACACAGTCTGCTGAACATAATACTACACAAACATTAGATGTTGCCATGGTTTAATTGCACATTACATGTAAACATTCACAGTGCAGGGAGGAAAAAGTATGTGAACCTTTGGACTTAATAACTGGTTGACCCTCCTTGGCAGCAATAACCTCAACCAAATTTTCCTGTAGTTGCAGATCAGACCTGCACAACAATCTGGAGTAATTTTGGACCACTCCTCTTCACAAAACTGTTTTCAGTGTAGCAATATTCTTGGGATGTCTGGTGTGAATCGCTCTCTTAAGGTCATGCCACAGCATTTCAATCGGGTTGAGGTCAGGACTCTGACTGGGCCACTCCAGAAGGCGTATTCTGTGCTGTTACAGCCATTGTTTTGTTGAATTACTTGTATGCTTTGAGTCATTGTCCTGTTGCATCACCCATCCTCTGCGGAGCTTCAGTTGGCGGACAGATGGTCGTACGTTTTCCTGAAAAATGTCTTGATAAACTCTGGAATTCATTTTCCCATCAATGACAGCAATCCGTCCAGGCCCTAAAGGCAGCAAAGCAGCCCCAAACCATGATGCTCCCTCCACCATGTTTTACAGTGGGGATGAGGTTTTGATGTTGGTGTGCTGTGCCTTTTTTTCTCCACACATAGTGTTGTGTGTTCTTCCCAAACAACTCAATCTTGGTTTCATCTGTCCACAGTATATTTTGCCAGTAGTGCCGTGGAAACATCCAGGTGCTCTTTTGCAAACTTCAAACGTGCTGCAATATTCTTTTTGGACAGCAATGGCTTCCTCCGTGGTGTCCTCCCATGTACTCCATTCTTGTTTAATGTTTTCCTTATTGTAGATGTGTCAACAAAAATGTTAGCATGTGCCAAAGATTTCTGTAGGTCTTTAGCTGACACTCTGGGATTCTTCTTTACCTCATGCAGCATTCTGCGCTTTGCTCTTGCAGTCATTTTTACAGGACGACCACGCCTAGGGAGAGTAGCAACAGTGCTAAACTTTCTCCATTTGTAGACTGTCTGTCTTACCGTGGACACATGAACATCAAGGCTTTTGGAGATACTTTTGTAACCCTTTCCAGTTTCATGCAAGTCAACAATTCTTGATCGTAGGTCTTCTGAGAGCTCTTTTCTGCGAGGCATGGTTCACATCAGACAGTGCTTCTTGAAACCAGTAAACCCAAAACAGGTGTGTGTTTTTTAAGGGTAGGACAGCTGTCAGCAACACATCCAATATCATCACACTGATTGGAGTCAAGGTTGGCTCACTCCTGGCTCCAATTAGCTCTGGGAGAAGTCATTAAGCTAGGGCCTCACATACTTTTTCCTCCCTGCACTGTGAATGTTTACATGTTATGTGCAATTAAACCATGGCAACATCTAATGTTTGTGTAGTATTATGTTCAGCAGACTGTGTTCTTCTATTGTTGTGACTTAGATGACGTTCAGAGCACATTTTATGCTCAATTCATGCAAAACTCCACATAATCCCAAGGGGTTCACATACTTTTTCTTGCAACAGTAGCTGTGTGTTTCTTGTTACTACTATAACCTACCACCAAAGAACAACCCAAAATAAATTCTCCAGCTCTTGACGATCGCAGCGATACCATATATATGTATGTTGTTTGTACCTGTAGTACAGCCCAGAACTAACAGTGCACATTTTGTTTTTGTCTTTTTCTAAAACACACTGACACCAATTTTATTTTTAAATCCTGACCTTTGACCCTGACTTTTGACCTTGACCATGATCCAAACAATAACCCTGGCACTGAACTAGATCAAACCTTGATCTAGGTATATTTTCTTTATTTTTTAATATTTATTTATTTTTTACAAACATTTTTTTTCTCTCTATGCCAGGAGTTAGAGAGATACAATTTCTCTCTCTCCTCCATTCATAGAGAGAAAAAAAAAAAACAAGGGGGCTGGGCTGCACAGTGACTGATCACTGTGATAGCCAATCAGAGGCTATCACAGCGATCATTTGACTGGGAATCGGGAGGCTCTCAGTGACACCACGGTCTTTGTGCTGGGAGCGCGCAGTGCGGCGCGCTCCCAGCACAAAGACAGGGCGCAAATATGTGGCCCTATGAAAAATAGCCCAGCTCCGTGAGGCCGCATATTTGTGTGACGTCGGCGTCAAGGGGTTAAATGTCTAGTTTACAACTGGCTGAGCTGCCACCTAAATGAGAATGACTGTCTTGATCCCATTCAGCCAGTATTTCACCCGGAACACTCCACAGAAACTGCTCTCCTAAAACTCACAAACAATTTACCAACAGCTAAAACCAACGGTCACTATTCCATACTCTTAGACCTCTCCGCTGCCTATGACACAGTTGACAACCTCCTCCTCAAAAAAAAACCTCTGGGGGTATGTGATTGTGCCTGTACGAGCCACCCGCCTATACTAAAAATACTGTGGGCAGTCAGCAAGTCGTTAATTATAAGAACATATGGACATCTGTCAACAAGTGACACTGAGAGCCTGAGCCTGCCACTCTCACCCCCTCCACAGTTCTTTGCCCCAGTGATCACTGAAGGGGCAGATCAGAGAGTAAACGCTCATTGAGGACCGAGAATTGAGTGATCAGTGGGCATGTGATCACTCAGTTTTCAGTCTTACAGCCAGCAGAGGACAGCTTCATCCACAAGTTGAGTATGCATTCACAAAGTTGAGTATGTATGTCTTTTTTTTTATAATCCTGCACTTCTCTTTAAAATGCATTGTAGGTGTTAATTAATGTGGTCAGGTGACTTGTGTACATATGATGATGTGCAAATGTGTACAGTAGAAATAAATGGCATTTACCTGGTGCTGCACACTGCAAAACTGCTACAGATTTCCCACCAGGAGCTGCACATATATCCAAGACCACCTCACCATCCTTGACATCTAGAGCCAGAACTGGGAGAAGTGACGAGGCATTGAGTATATAGTAGTCTTTGATATTTCCACTCTGATGTCGCTGAGACGGAAACTTTCCAGGTTTCCTGCTGATATAGCATTTTATCGATCTTTGGTTGTTAGAAAAGTTGTCACTGGACAGTATATGGTATCCCAGCATAAGCAAATGATCCTCTGTTGTCACAGTGTTCTGGAAATTATTTAGTAAAACAGCATACTGCCAGAGTCCAGGATCTGTGAGCACTTCCCTGAAGACAAGAAAAAAGGCCATTTAGTGTGGAATTCCTATATTTTTGTTTTATATACCCTATGAAGGTTTTTAACAATATCAGGATTTTCCTATTGTCTGTACCCATGGTGAGTATATCCTGAGAGGCAGGACCTCAGGCAACTGTATACTGCTGTCTATGTTGCCATTTGGAGATTCTTTTAATTTCCTATGTGGCAGTGGGGACAGAAAGTAAGTGCAAATTTCTCCAACAGGGGTACAGCCAGTATTAAAATCTGACAAGCCTTCCCTATTCTATCCAAACCTAATGAGAGCTGTATTGGCTAGAATCCCACTTTTAGGATCTTGAGATAAAAATAACCATCTGCAATTACATTTATTGAGAAATGATTTATACAAATACAGTAAAAGTCAAGGCACCGTGTGTGCACATTGATGGATGAGGGTTTCAAAGCATAATAATGAATTTATGTAATTCCTATTGTGTGTGTATGACCATAGTGTGGAACTTAGCCTGCATCATCTTAAAGGGCAGTGGCTGAGATAACTATTTCACACTCACCAGCCACTTTATTAGGCACACCTGTTGAATTGCTTGATAACACAAATTGCTAAATCAGCCAATCACATGGCAGCAACTCAATGCATTTAGGCATGTAGACGTGGAGAAGATGACTTGCTGAAGTTCAAACCGAGCATTAGAATGGGGAAGAAAGGGGATTTAAATGGCATTGTTTTTGGTGCCAGACGGGCTGGCCTAAGTATTCCAAAAACTGCTGATCTACTGGGATTTTCACGCACAACCATCTCTAGGGTTTACAGAGAATGGTCTGAAAAAGAGAAAATATCCAGTGAGAGGTAGTTGTGTGGACGATAATGCCTTGTTGATATCAGAGAAGAATAGGAAGACTGGTTGCTGCAACACTCAGATGTAAGCGTCAGAATTTGGCGTAAACAACATGAAAGCATGGATCCATCCTGCATTGTACCAACAGTTCAGTCTGGTGGGGGTGGTATAATGGTGTGGGGGATAATTTCTTGGCACTAGCAAGGTGTATCTAATAAAGGGGCCAGTGAGTGTATATCCTCTTCATAGCACTGCAGAAATTACTGGGGTTATATACCTTAACACAATGAATATACACTGGGTGGACAGCCACAGAGTAGTGAAGTGCCCTTACAGCACTGTTGTGCAACTAGATTCAGCACCCACGAGGGCCCCATCTGCATAGAGTTGGAAGAATGTAATTTTCTGCTGCTTGCTTTGTGCATGTAAGATCCATCAACCTAATACTGTTGCTATGAAAAAGTGTTCCAAAAACAAGGACATTTGCATTGGATCTCCCAGACTATCAATAACAATAGGAATTCTGTGATACCACACTCCTACAAGGCTCCTGTGACCTGTAGGATTTAGGTCACGTGCGTGTGATAGGTCCACTTTAAAACGAAGCTGCTGTTAAGGCCCCTGTTGCTCATGTGATCTGGGACCAAGATGCTGTACAGCAGTGGTTTCCAAAACAGTAAGTATCGCACTACACCAAATGGTGGATGTGACCAAAATGCCCGGGGGGGGGGTTGTCCTAAAGGTGCCTGGTAAATAAAACCTAAACATACTCTGGTCTGCGCCACGATGGTGTAGTACAAAGCACAGGGGTCAGGAGTAAGTCATGCACAGGGTGAAAGGGTCAGGAGTTAGTAAGGCTCAAATTGCAGATGTCAGGTCAAGCCTCCAAAGCAAATACAGTCAGGTCCATAAATATTGGGACATCGACACAATTCTAACATTTTTAGCTCTATACACCACCACAATGGATTTGAAATGAAACGAAACAAGATGAGCTTTTAACTGCAGACTGTCAGATTTAATTTGAGGGTATTTACATCCAAATCAGGTGAACGGTGTAGGAATTACAACAGTTTGCATATGTGCCTCCCACTTGTTAAGGGACCAAAAGTAATGGGACAATTGGCTTCTCAGCTGTTCCATGGCCAGGTGTGTGTTATTCCCTCATTATCCCAATTACAATGAGCAGATGAAAGGTCCAGAGTTCATTTCAAGTGTGCTATTTGCATTTGGAATCTGTTGCTGTCAACTCTCAAGATGAGATCCAAAGAGCTGTCACTATCAGTGAAGCAGGCCATCATTAGGCTGAAAAAAACAAAACAAACCCATCAGAGAGATAGCAAAAACATTAGGCGTGGCCAAAACAACTGTTTGGAACATTCTTAAAAAGAAGGAACGCACGGTGAGCTCAGCAACACCAAAAGACCCGGAAGACCACGGAAAACAACTGTGGTGGATGACCAAAGAATTCTTTCCCTGGTGAAGAAAACACCCTTCACAACAGTTGGCCAGATCAAGAACACTCTCCAGGAGGTAGGTGTATGTGTGTCAAAGTCAACAATCAAGAGAAGACTTCACCAGAGTGAATACAGAGGGTTCACCACAAGATGTAAACCATTGGTGAGCCTCAAAAACAGGAAGGCCAGATTAGAGTTTGCCAAACGACATCTAAAAAAGCCTTCACAGTTCTGGAACAACATCCTATGGACAGATGAGACCAAGATCAACTTGTACCAGAGTGATGGGAAGAGAAGAGTATGGAGAAGGAAAGGAACTGCTCATGATCCTAAGCATACCACCTCATCAGTGAAGCATGGTGGTGGTAGTGTCATGGCGTGGGCATGTATGGTTGCCAATGGAACTGGTTCTCTTGTATTTATTGATGATGTGACTGCTGACAAAAGCAGCAGGATGAATTCTGAAGTGTTTCAGGCAATATTATCTGCTCATATTCAGCCAAATGCTTCAGAACTTATTGGATGCCGCTTCACAGTGCAGATGGACAATGACCCAAAGCATACTGCAAAAGCAACCAAAGAGTTTAAGGGAAAGAAGTGGAATGTTATGCAATGGCCAAGTCAATCACCTGACCTGAATCCGATTGAGCATGCATTTCACTTGCTGAAGACAAAACTGAAGGGAAAATGCCCCAAGAACAAGCAGGAACTGAAGACAGTTGCAGTAGAGGCCTGGCAGAGCATCACCAGGGATGAAACCCAGCGTCTGGTGATGTCTATGCATTCCAGACTTCAAGCTGTAATTGACTGCAAAGGATTTGCAACCAAGTATTAAAAAGTTAAAGTTTGATTTATGATTATTATTCTGTCCCATTACTTTTGGTCCCTTAACAAGTGGGAGGCACATAGGCAAACTGTTGTAATTCCTACACCGTTCACCTGATTTGGATGTAAATATCCTCAAATTAAAGCTGACAGTTTGCAGTTAAAGTACATCTTGTTCATTTCATTTCAAATCCATTGTGGTGGGGTATAGAGCCAAAAATGTTAGAATTGTGTCGATGTCCCAGTATTTATGGACCTGACCGTATACCCCCACCCAATACAAGCACCATGACCAAATCACCTCCAGCACAAATTCTCTGTTTTCTCCCTAAATTTAAAGTGAAATGCATGTATGAAAAAAAAGAAAGTATAAATGTGAATGTATGCTGTCCGCATGCTATGGGCTGTTACCTGGCAGACATCTGTAACCTCTGCTGCTTTGCTCTGCTGTTCCCATTACCAGCTTGCAAGCCGTACTACTCTGCTCCCTCATCTTCAACCCCTGACATGTCAATACGGATGACACTGAACCCCATGATGTACATTGACCTCCTGGGTCCTGTGTGTGCTTAGCTAGCACAGACAGTGACTGAGGAGGTCAGGACCTCCCCGTTGACCTGACAAAGCCCTGGGTGCTAGGACAGGAGGAGGAAAGAGTACAGCCCACACCATCTCCCTGCTCTTTCCTCCTCCACAGTGTCAGCTCTGTACTCTATTGACACTGCAGGCGCTGACAGCATGAGTCATGTAAGTGACATCACTGTCTACAGACTTTGCAGACACCAGAAATTTCACTGAGAAATGGACAGTCAGTAGCTCAGTCAAAAAGATGATACTGCCAGGCGATTCCTGGTAAGTTCACAGGTATGCTGTCCCCCAAATCCTGCTCTGCAGCCCCCTAGTATTGCACTGCCTTTTTCCCCCTTAATTCAATTTTTACAGGAACCTATAATCATCCCACATTGAGAACTACTGCTGTAGTGCCTTCTTTTCCTAGCTGTTAGGTAAGTTCTTCAATCTTTCAGACCCACACCCGGCTTCCCTAATACATAATTGCATGATTAACGTAGAACTAAACTCTCTTATGCAGGCCATAGACAGGTCGAAAACCGGCCATTTTGTAAAAAAAATTAAAAATCGGTTGTTCAATAGGCCGACGTTACCACCAATGGTATAAAAAAAAAAATCGGACGCTGTTTCGCCCGTCTACAGCCGGCATTTAATTACTTCTGTCCCTTGCAGAGAGCTCTGCTATTATATTTGACATGAAAAAGTATTGCGGTTGCAACAATGTATCCATTTGTATCCATTTTGGATACAGATGTTTTTATTCGGATACAAATAGATACATTGTTGCAACCGCAATACTTTTCATATATAATATAATCGTGGACTGGAATTCTTCTTCTTCTTGCAGGTCACGGCTCATGCGCAGATTTTTTATCAGTAAAACGATTGGCTGATTTGCCCATCATTGCCGGGAAAATCGGCCGATTTTTTTTCCAACTTTACCGATAAAAAAAAAATGTCAAAACCCCGAAAAACGGCCGACCAATTAACCCACTAACGGTGCAAAAATCGACCGATTTTTTTTTTCGGCCGAAAAATCGGCCGATTTTCGACCCATCTATGGCCTGCATTAATCAACATAGATAGGAAAATATATTTTATTTTTTTACTTGTTTTACCCTTTTTCTCATTTTTTTTCAGTTGCTTCCTGGTCTCTGGCCACATCCAAAATGATGTCACACTTCCCAGGAGTCTCCATTGAAATTTTTTTTTCCTCTCATCTAGAGGAGGGGATTTCTCAGTTAAAAGAGAACTATATGCAATTTTCATTTTGGATAGAGAAATCAGATTTTTTTTATTCCAACTGTGTCCTATTGCGGAGATTTCCCTTCAATTCCTAGCCAAACAGGAAGTGAGAGGAAATCCCTGCAAATTAAAGTAATTCCCTGGGGACTCCCTGGTCACCAGAACTAGTGTCCCATTGGAAGATTTCCCGTCTATTACTTTTCTGGGGACAACCCAAAATTGGGAATTTTCTTTTACTTTCAATGATAATGGTAAACAGGACAAATAGAGAGGGTAATCTATCTGGGGCACAGACAGCATTAAAATTGACAAGCATTTTAATTCCTCTCCACTCTATCCAAAAAAAAAAAATAATGTTTTGCCTTTAGTTATACTTTAAGTACACCCTCCTACCTGTATGTCCACTTTAAAGTGGAAATAATGTTATAATTCAAAGTGGAACTTCACTGTCTCATTCAATATTGATTATTTTTAATCCTTATGCTGTTAGCAGTTAGTAAATAGATAGGAAACTATATTACATTTATTTGTTTTCAGTTTATTTTTTTTACATTTCTTCAGTTACTTCCTGTTTCCAGGTCTAGCCACATGATGTCATGCACCCAGGAGTTTTCAGGAGCAGAAGAGGGGTTTTCTCAGTTAAGCACACCATCCTTCCTGCATGCCTTAACTAAGGTCACATGGATTCCAGGATGGAAATTCTACATGAATCATCTGCCCTTACTCAAGATGGATGTGTCTAGAAATGATAGGGGTGTTTACCAAAATGATTTTTCAGCCAAATAAAGCATGAAGACTCAGATAGATGGGATTGCCTTGAAAAAAAAAAAAATAATGAAATAGTGTTTTTGGTTTGTGCTGCTCAGATATAGTGTAGCTCTTTAAGCACACTTTATTTACCTGACAGTATGCCAGTGGTCTCCAAGTTCTTTTGTATACATCTGATCAAAGTAATCTAGCACAAATCTGCAGATTTGTTTCCTAAATCGTCCCATCTCATTGCAGAGAAAAAACACAAAGTCCAAACAGACATATGATGGTCACAGAGACATCCTGGCCACAAACCGCTTTTCACTGATGATCCCAAGGCCCAGAGCCTTGGCAGATATAACTCCCAAATCTAACTTCGCTGTCATGTTCAGCATGGCTGTGTAAATCTCAGAACTGCCTGGAAAAAAAAATGAAGATTATTAGTCAGAAGGTCAAAAGGAAATTATTCAATTTACCAATAAAAATAGAATGTGTGGCTCACACATCAAGGCCAAACCAATAAAACGTAGCTTTTATTTATAACGTAAAAAATAAGTTTGGCAGAGATATGTAATATATCTACTTCAGCTCAGTTTATTATCCTTCTGTCATTTGCACTAACAGAAAGAAAGAGAATGAGAATAGGGTACTATTACCCTTCCAATAGTGTTCTCTTAACATTAAGTATTAGATTAACCCTAAATAGCTCATATATTTCCTGTCTGTCTCCTGCTCCCATTTCTTATGTCTGAGCATAATGATGAACTTGGATTCGCTTATATTTTTCCTTTCCCGGTTCCATTCGCCCCTCTAAAAATGCTAATAAGTTTTAAGTAAAATATTTTTACATTGCATCCCTTATTTTATACCCAGTAATGTCTTCACTGAGTCTCTGTGCATCTCTATGCAATGTAGGCAGCTCATGGCTGGTGGGAGCGGCTAGTAAATTGCTGTACATAGCTTACTGAAAACATAACATCAATCTACCTTAGTACTTCCCTTAAAGTGTCACTAAAAGCATTTTTAAATTTGGATAGAGCGGAGAGAAATTAGAATGCTTCTTAGGTTTTTAATGCTGTCTGTGTCCTGGTTAGGGAGATTCACTCTCTCTATTTGTCCTGTTTACCATTATCATCAAAAGTGAAAGTAAATCCCAAATTTTGGGTTGACATCAGAATAGGAATAGCAGGGAAATCTTCCAGTGGGGACATTCATTCTGGTGAGCTTGGTGACACCACTGGATTCCTTCACTTTGGAGGGGTTTCCTCTCACTTCCTTTTTTGGCTATGGGACAGGAAATGAAGAGGTATCTCCACAATGGGACACAGGTGGCAAAAAAAAAAAAAAGAAAGAAAAGAAAAAAAACTGATGGGGGTTATAACCATCCTTTACTCTATCCAAAATGAAAAAAAAAAAGGTTTTGCCTTTAGTGACACTTTAAGAGCCGTTAACCCTGATGCAAGTAGTAGGATGACTCCTGTGAGGAATTATGTAATTATCACAATGCCTTCATGGGGGGATGTCAGTCTGAAAGAGGGGGCACACCTAGACAGGCTGCCCTAGGTAACACTTATGTGATTCTTAGCCTTTAAGTATAACTAAAAGCAAAACTTTTTTTTTAGTTTTGGATGGAGTGGAGGTGGATTAGAACCCCTGCCAGTTTTTTTATTGCTGTGTCCCTGTTAGGAAGATTCATCCTCTCTATTTGCCCTGTTAACAATTATCATTGACAGTGAAAAAAAAAAATCCCAAATTTAGGGGTGTACCCAGAAAAGTAATAGTGGACACTAGTTCTGGTGACCTGGGGTCCCCAAGGGATTCCCTTAATTTCCGCTCACTTCCTATTTGGCTATGGGACAGGAAATGAAGGGAAATCCCTGCAATGGGACACAGATGTTACTAAAAAATCTGACAGGGGATATAACCCTCCCTTACTCTGCCTATAGAATGTAAGGTGCGGGCCAAGGACAGTTAGGCTAAGGAGGAAAGAGACAGAAGATGCTGGATGTCCTCCTGCCAGGAAATGAGGTGGGCTCTGTCTGAGCTGCTGCAGCAATATTTAGTACAGGAAAGGAGCCAGTACAAATGCACGTGACTGTAAAAATGGAGATCAGCTTATGTGAAGCCTCATAAAACAAACAAAAAACTTCCTTAACCTTCTTGGCACCAAATCCTCCTTCAATTGTGTCTCACACACTCCCTTTCACAGGCACTGCAGCTCACAGTGGGAGGATTTCAGCAACAGAGGCAGTGCTGTCAGTGCACAAAGCAGTGGGCAGGACTAAGTGTGGCCAGGTACTGATTGACAGATGTGTGAATCAGATATGACAGCGCTGATAGCCATGCAATAAAAACTGGCAGGGGTTCTAATCCATTTCCACTTTATACAAAACTAAAAAAAGAGAAAAAAAAAAAGTTTTGCCGTTAGTTATACTTTAAGTTTTATTGGTATGGGTTTTGAAAACGGAGCCGCACATCCTGAACAAACCTATAAAACCTTTGCAAGTAAGAGTTCTTTATGTGTATTAGATCAGGTTTGGATACACAGAAATCAGAAAGTGTCTGTGTCTACACGCAGTGTTCAACACTTCCAACGCAGAGCGGAGTGGGAAAGGCATATCTGCTTTGCTATAGTTTACAGCACGGATGCTGGGATGTTGAGGTTTTGAAAAACACAGCTCTTTCATGTCTGTAAAACATAACATAATGACAGTATTTAGATTGTAGATGCCTGCCATAATTTCCTGACATTTTCCCCATCCTAGGGAGCTGCATGCACAGCCTGCCATACAAACGAACGGCTGCACGTTGCCATGCTCTTGCAAATGCTGATGCTTCTTTGCATTGGTGGAAATAGGAGAGTTTAAATAGAAAGTCTATACTGGACGAGGGTGCATTTCCCTACTCACCATCTGGCCAATTGATGAATCTAAAATATATAACATTTATTCAAATATATAAAAAAAAAATGTATGCTCAGCTGTAATTAATTGCATTAACCTCCTTGGCGGTATTCCCGAGTGTAGCTCGGGGTAAAATTTCAGTACCACAAGCGGTAACCCCGAGCTACACTCGGGCTTACCCTGCGGCGTTGCTCAGGGAGTCCCTGCAGCACTTACCTTGTCCTTTGCTCCCGCGATGTGTCCCCTGCAGCGTCCCCGGCCATCTCCTCCGGCATCCGGCTTCCGTGTTCCGGTCCCTGTGACGTCGGGACGTACGGGACGTAAGTAAGTCCACATGCACATGGGATGTTTTGATAACGCTGGCAACGTTAGCTGTGTAAAGTCATGTTAAAAATGTGAGTTTTTCAGCTTTTTTTTTAGCATTTTTGCATTAGCGTTTAGCCGTGTTTAGTGGCATTTTCTCGCGTTTGTTTTTTAGCATTTTTTTTACAAACAAAATTGTTCTTTTTGGTCAAAAAAACATCCAGAAATGCCGGTTTGCGTGCCAGCCAAAAAACATTGATTACAGTCTATGTGTGCATGGACACATAAGATAACATTCTGGGGAGTTTACTGGCTGTAGAAAAAAAACGTCAAAAGCCAAAAACAGCCGCTGTAAAAACGTCCAGTATGCATGAGGACTAAAGGTTATTTATTTTAGATTCATCACTTGGCCAGATGGTGCGTAGGGAACCGCACCCTCCTCAAGTATAGATTTGTTATTTGCCAAAGATGATGATTTACAATTAGGGTTTAGTTCAAGAGTTTACATAGAAACATAGAAAAGTGATGGCAGAAAAAGACAGAGTGGACCATCAAGTATGCCCATTTTTTGGTTTGTTTGTTTTTGTGTTTTGTTTTTGTTTTTTGTGGTGGGGGGGTTTGTTTTTTTTTACAACTTATTTCTTTTTTTTTCTTATTATATACAGCATGTTACTTTAACTTTTTTTTCCACTTTATTGCTATCACATAGGTGTCTGACGGCACCCTATGTAGTAGAGTACCATATAAGACAGGTCCCCTTTGAGACATTAGGGGTCTCTAATGTCACCTTTACACCCCACTGAAGCTGATCAAGTACACAATGTATAACAAGAAAAAAACTGGTAGCCCAATAAGAGATAAAACGTAAAAAAAAAAAAAAAAAAGTGTTTGTTGCAATATTTACTTTCATGCTTGGGATTTCCCCTGCTGCACATATTTTCTGCCACTAGGTGTCCTCTGTATTCACTATTCACTTTCATGCTTGGGATTTCCCCTGCTGCACATATTTTCTGCCACTAGGTGTGCTCTGTAGAATGGCTAGTATCATCCAACTCCCTTCTTCTGAGCCGTCATTCCGGACATGCCCCAGCTTGTGACTGAACGGTGAAGAAGCCCTACAATACTGAGCTCATCTCTAGGTCACTCTGCTTTCTCTTCCTATCAGCATGCTTCTTGTCAGTACATGAACTGATTGGCTCCTTGTACTGCTTCTTCCTCTCGTGCTCCAGCTGTACAGGGACTGTTAGAGGCTAATACCAGGTCAAATTCCAGTGCTGACTCTGCTTGCATGTAAATGATAAGTGCACTGTAAGACAATGAGCGCTCATTCTTTTTGCCCACCCTTCCCGTCCACAGATGTATACTTACCTCGATCTAATTGCCATGACTTCAGATCTTTGTTTACATCCAGCACTTACTTCCTGGCTGCACCCGCACATTGCAGCCCCCATAGACTTCTATTAGCCTGTGACCAAGGCTGGAGATGAAAGGAGAGAGCTCTATTGACGTCTATGGGGCTGAAACATGCAGGTGAGGCCAGGATGAAAATAAACACCAGGGGGCGTAGCCTTCAGCTCCAGGTAAGTATACATTTGTGGAGCAGGAAAGGGGGGGGTGGGTAGGTTAGGTCACGGCACACAGGATCAGTGCACTCTGTTCTAAAATAAAGTTACCAGCTTTTGAAAATGAAATCCAAGGCATCCTACTGACCATGACTACTTTTATAACCACACCCATAAAACCACACAGGTCCTTTATAGCCACTCCCACAAAACCACGCCCTCATTTTTAACATTGCCTGAATCAGTTGGTCAAGGACCTGTGTAGCAAGAGGCAGGACATTCAAGGGAGAAAAACAAAATGCCTTGAACATGCAGGATAAATGTGGTGTTTACAGCAAATTGTGGGTGTTGCCAAATCCTGGTAATATGGGGAGGGGCTTAAATGGTATGGTTAAATTAAGCCTGAATCTATGCTGCTAAAAGTCAAGAGTGTGTAATGTACAGAGTGCAAGGGTTATGCAGGACAGAGCGCAAAGG